CACCCCCTCTCCGCCCTCCACGCCGCCCTCTAGCGGCCTGTATTTGCCAGGGTTCCAGGAGAATTCAGGTCCCAAAGCCAGCCTGCCGGATTCCACAGCTGGTCCTGTCTGGCGCTCGCCATCTGTGCGCTCCCCCCAGGCATTAAATTTAGGCGAAGAGGAAAGGTCTTTCTGGGGCGAGAAAACCAGGAAAAGAGTAGAGTCCAGAGACAGAACAGAGACGAGAGCGCCGAGTCCAGTCCCAACAAGAGGCTTCAAACTGTGGTTACAGACTGACAGACGGACAAGGCGATCTCCAGAGCGGCACCTGGGATACGGTGGAAGGGAAGAGGGGAAATCGTCATAATACCCGAGTCTAGTCTCTATTTTAGTGATAGGAGGCCCGGAATTTCACCTCACCCAGGAGAAATGAGATCCTATGAAAACTAGTCTCACTGTTGCCAAACGTTCTCATGGAGGTGAGTGAATCCAATGCACTGTCATCCAAAGCTCTGCTGAAAGAAGCAATATATACAGAAAAACTGAAGGATATTCTGTAACTGTCTCTAGATCCTCCAAAGTCAACCTTTGTTTTTAGCTAGGATTCAGTTCCCAAATTGTGTACCCATTGGGGCCCCACATAGAGCTCCAATAGTTTGTCGAATTGGGTTTCGCAAGATGACAGCTGCTCCATATTGAGAGTCATTACGAGAAACTGCCCTGTGAAATTGACGGGGGTCATTACCTATAGCATGTTCATTACCTTACGGGGGTCTTTTTAGGCTAATCCGTGAAAATACGTGGTTTCTCCATCAGACAGAATTAAGGGTTTTCTTTTTCTTTTCTTTTTTAAGGATATTATTGATTTCACAGAGGGGAAAGGAGAGGGAGAGAGAAACATCGATGATGAGAGAATCATTCATCGGCTTCCTCCTGCACCCCCCCACACACACACACACTGGGGATGGAGTGCACAAACCGAGAATCGAACGGCGGNAATCATTCATCGGCTTCCTCCTGCACCCCCCCCCACACACACACACTGGGGATGGAGTGCACAAACCGAGAATCGAACGGCGGTCCCTTGGGTCATAGGCCGATGCTTAACCACTGAGCTAACGGTTTTCTGAGAAATGTTTATCTTAAAAAAATGTATGTGCCTTCTTTCATCTCTCTGGCTCGAACTACTTTCTGTATGCTAATGAATTCCAAATCTGTATCTTTATACAGATTTCTCGGCTTCAGGCATGTAGATCCATCCTTCTGTTGCTGCTTCTTTCATTGTAAACTCAAAATCTCCAAAAATCAAAATATTTAAACTGAAAATCACTAAGGTGTGACTCTCACGAGGGCTGAGAGGATTCATTCCCCCACCCCCACCCGCTTTCTGTCTGTTCACTGAATGGTGCCACCGTGCATCACAGGTCTAAAACAATACCCTGGAATTCACAGATGTTGAAGGATAGCAGAATATGCTACCCAAAATATGACTAGGAGTTCAGGACTTGCCATACCAAAATGATGCTTGCTTGGTAGACTGATGATTTTGAGCCACGGGTACTTGAAAAAACAGCAAATGCAGGGACATACTTTCTTTGAATTCACCTTATTTGCCTAAAGACAGATCCTCCAAAAAGAACTCAATTGCCTGGGCTTAAGAATTAATCTGACATAAGACTGATCAAAAGGAAGAAAGTATACAAATTTTAATACTTATATGTGTGCATGGTAGCATTCAGAAGGAAATGAAGACCTGAAGAGCCCATTAGGCCCAAAAGTTTACTTCTACTCTCAGGATTTTTTGCTGGGCCTGAGAATTAAATTGACAGGAGGAAGCATACAAATTTTACTGTAAATTTTACTTGCCATGGGAACCCTTCATAAATAAGTGAAGGATCAAAGAAGCAGTTAGAATTGAATCCTTACATACTGAATTGGACAAAAAGTAGTAATTTGGGAAAATGTAACATGACAAAATGGCTTGGGTTAGGGCATTAATGGTGGAAAAGTGACCAGGAAGATAAGGGTTAGTTTAGCAAAGTTTGTACAGATTTCTCTCAGCTTTGACTCCCCATCCTTGGTGAGAAGACTGCTATAATCCTCCTTGTAAAGGGAGACATCTTCCATGTGGAGAGTTAGACTGCCCTTCTGCACCTGCTATTTTTCAAATGCCTTAGCTGAAAATAATGCTTATGCCAAAATGGCATGTTTTAGGTGCGGCATATTCTGCCGCTGATGGGGTTCAGGACACGCCACCCTAAAATGCAGCACCTTAGCATATTAAATATTTTAAGCTGAAGCGGCCTTCCCCCGGGCCTTCTCCCCTGAAACAGTTCATAAAACCCTCTTGTGAAAGGCGCCCTCCCTATATCCAGAGGAAAGGAGCATTCCTGTCTTTAAAGGCAAAGGAACACACAGAAGAATCCTAACAAACAGGCCTTGCACTTTCCCCCAGGTTGCTATACTGACCTCAGGCTCCTTAATCTGTCCCATCTCTACACAACTGCCCACTCTTCAGTAAACCTAGCATAAAGATACTCAGGTCTAACTGTTTCTTCAGATCTTCATTTCCTTGTGAAGATTTCTATGTCATGTAAAACTTATGTTAAATAAATGTGTGTGTTTTCTTTTTGTTTATCTGTCTTTGTCAATTTAATTTTCAGATCCCGCCAGGGACCCTGAGAGGATGGAGGAAACCTGTCCCCCTCTCTTCTACCACCCTTCCCTGCACAGTACAGCCAGTAGTGTCAAGGACAGGCAGAAAGGGGGGGAGTTGTATCCAATGGGCAACACGTTAAGGGAATGAGTTAATCTCAGAATGGGATAAAGAAAGCAGCTCAGAACCCTATGGTTTCTCAGTTTGGTCCAGGGCTGCAGGCCTCTCAAGACAAAAGGGATTCGGGCATATGGTCTCATCTTGGTGGAACCTAAAGCCCTGGGGGTACTTGACTCAGATTAAGCACAGACTGTCATCCTGGAACACATATTTAAATTTAGTTCATTACTTTTGTATTAAAAACAAACCCATACACTGTCTTCCTGGAACACATGTTTTAATTTAGTCCATTACTTTCGTATTAAAAACAAACCCATACACATATTTTTAAAAATGTCTAATAATTCACTATTTTTTAATCCTCACTTGAGGATATGTTTTTATTGATTTGAGAGAACGAGAGAGATGTGAGAAACACTGATTGGTCGCCTCCGTATAATACTCCAACGGAGGCAAACTAGCCAGAGCATTAATTCACTTCTTAACATTTTTTTTGCCTGTTTATTTTCTGTGGTAAATTTTAAGCTGCTTATGCCTGTGTTTCTCCCCTCATATGACTGAATAATAAAATTTCAGTGCTTAATCTTGAAACTGCTCATTCTTATTATTTCTGGTGAAAGAAACTTCAGAAATATTAGGAGTGAAATATTCTCTCTTCCCCACAGCTAGAGCAAAGCAAACATTCTTCTGCATTATAAACTTGCTTCTGATAAAATGGTCACTGAGAAATATCACTGAAATAGTACTCTATTGTCCAATGTGAAGACTAGATGAAACTGAACTAATATAGATATAAATTATGTTATTAAAGGTAACTTCTAAGGCAACTTTATATCACAGACTATTATATTCTGAAAAGTGTTACCTATACCTTTTACAAATTTACTCTTCTGATTATTATATTTGATTTGTTGCCCTGGAATTAATAGTTAAATTGTCATCTCTTTTCTGTGAAGTAGAAATTCTTATACAAGTTTTTTTATTAAGCCAGAGGAAGACTCTTGGAATTTTCTATGCTATGAAGGTAAAATAAATCCCATGGTTATTGGATTCTATATGAATATACAACTTGAGAATCTTTTTTCTTATATAAAGAGTGCATACATAGCAAAAGTTGCATACATTTAAAAAAAAAAACAACCCCCTGAAAACATTGCAAAGAAATGTGACATTTGAGTGAGCTGCTTTGGGCTGTCATCCTGACACCATAGATAGTTTCCTCTAATTGGAATAGGTCAGTGGAAACGTTTTGAGAAAAACTGAGTGACTTGATTACATGATGGGAAAATTTTCAGTGTTTGAAAATGTAACCCAACTCCGATAAAACTGGAAATGTGAGGAAAATAACATATATTTTGCAGAGTTGTGATTAAATGAGATGGTGTATATAAAAGAATTTTAAAATACTGAGTAGCGCTCTATATATGTTATTTCAAACCTCCATAGGGAGGCATAACAGCTATTCACATCAGTTACACATTAGCATGACATTTTAGATATTTTCCCTAGAGCAGGAGATTGCTGCGGCCCAAGGGGGACTATTGAAAATGTAAAGATAACAAATTTCTACTTTGTGCTTAGTGTTCAGGAAATCCCCTCAAAATCATTTATTTTATTTCGACTTCAGCAGGAAGATGATCATTCTTATTGACATCGGGATAAGTGTTACGTTTGTTTGGCCTGCTTCTGTTCTCTAGTTTGAATTTTTATAAGATTTGAATTCAGTGCTCTTTCAACGAAATAAACAGCTGTTTCAAAGTTTTATATTTATTATAACTTTAAACATTGGTAACCTTATATAAATGCAGTTTTATGACATGCAATTTTCTGAGCAACACTTCAAAACCTGTGGAATAACTGAAACATAAAGGATCTTCAATTTCCTTATACAGAAAAGATAAGAAACTTTTAAGCATTAGAAAAACACTTTATTGAAGGACATATGCCAGCAATTCAGTAATCAACGAATAATTTATTTGCTTTGAATCTTTAACTTTTAGTCTGACTGAAAAGTAAGGACTATTTAGAAACTATTCACCATCCTAAAGGAGAAATTAATATTTCCGGTCTTCCTTGATTTAGAAGCGTTTCGTCCATAGGACCTAATTGGCCTTTAACAGATTGAGGAGGGAACCGCATTCCCGGCGGGAAAGGCTTCAGCAAGGCAGCAGGCTGCTCGGCAGGTTCAGACAGGTCAGCACACGGCTAGTACGACTTCTGAAGTCAGGTAAACGTAAATCCAGTTTTTGGTTCCTTTAACTGCCTGTTGTTTTGCTGAACCTCTGTCACAGCGCGCTTAGCACAATGCCAGGCGCTAAGTAAATATTAACTATGGGAAAGGAGTTACAGTAACTCCTGACTGGGAATATAGGCTGAAACCTAGTTCATGGGAGGGCATGTTTTTATCTCTAAGGAACCTGTTAAAATATGTCCCAAGCGTGCAAAAACACTTCTTAAAGTGCTCTTACAAAAACTACACCACTTAAAAGGAAGATCTTTATAAAATAATAATAATCTGTGATCGATAAGGTTATAAAAAAGTAACCAAGGAGGAGTAATAAAGGAAGAGAAGATCAGCATAAGAATCTTCAGTCCTAGTAAACAGGATTGAATTCTAGCCAATGCGATCACAATTCTGGAAATCCCCGGGAGCGCTTTGGTCCAATCAAAGCGAGGCTATATCTATAAATAAGCCTGCCTAGGCGCCCTGAAAAAAAACACCGGCGGCGTCATGGCGCGTACCAAGCAGACTGCTCGCAAGTCGACCGGTGGCAAGGCCCCGCGCAAGCAGCTGGCCACCAAGGCGGCCCGCAAGAGCGCGCCGGCCACGGGCGGCGTGAAGAAGCCGCACCGCTACCGCCCGGGCACCGTGGCGCTGCGCGAGATCCGCCGCTACCAGAAGTCCACCGAGCTGCTGATCCGCAAGCTGCCCTTCCAGCGCCTGGTGCGCGAGATCGCGCAGGACTTCAAGACCGACCTGCGCTTCCAGAGCTCGGCCGTCATGGCGCTGCAGGAGGCGTGCGAGGCCTACCTGGTGGGGCTCTTCGAGGACACCAACCTGTGCGCCATCCACGCCAAGCGCGTCACCATCATGCCCAAGGACATCCAGCTCGCGCGCCGCATCCG